TATTTCCCATCCAACTATTTGATCTTATTATGCCTTGGTCTGCTAAATTAAAGGATTCCTTACAGGTCACATTCAACTCACGTTATTTAGGTTAAGGCACATCATAAGGCATGTTTCCAGACTTCAGTTCATTTTTATAGCTTCTCTGAACCCACGCTAATTTTTTAACAACCTTTTCAAAGCGTGAACACCAGAACTTGACCACAGTAGCTGGTGTTCTTCTTCCACTATGAATAAAAAGGTGAAAGGATAAGATCTAGTTATAGGATCAGTTCAATTTAGTAACTATAGATAAATAAATGTTATCCTTTGTTAAATAAATGTTTTGGATAAACTTTTTCCATATCTAGTCTTATGTATGTACACTTATGGCAGTTTTATTTACCTAATAAAAAATTAAAATACTGTTTTTGTGCATTTTAATTGAACTGAATTTTCTGCCAACTGTAACTTATTGCAAATCTTGAGTAAATAAATAGGATTGTAGTAAATAATAAATGCATCATTCACCATTTTCTAAACAATTATATATGAAACTAAAGAAATCAAAAGAAAATGTTACCATGTGACATTTCTAATGCTTTAAACTTATGAAGTACTCACTTTTTTAAAAAAAAGTTTTAAAAATGGCTTCTTTGTCCTATTCTGGAATAGCACAAAGCAGACAGAGCATACAGGTCAGCTAAACTGGGTTTACAGCTGCTTTGTTCTGGCAGTGCATAACAAGACAGCTGAGTGCATACTCCGTTTCCCCTCATTTCTCCCATCTTCCAAAATACCTCTGCCTTTTACAACACACACTCAAACTTCCCTGTCCTTCCTGCAACCCCTCTTTTGTGCATGGTATATATCCCCCTTCTGTAATTTCCCCCTCCTTCTTGGCCTACCCGTTGAGTAGATGTAGTGGTACAAAATAGCTTTTGAAAATATATTTATGATTTTTTTTTTCCTAATGGAAATTTTCATCTGTCAAAAAGAACGGCTTTCTTTGAAAATGGCCACCATCTCCAATTATTCTCAGTGAGACTGAAGCCACAAGTTACCCTCAGGGAAGATGGTTGCTTTCCATGCTGTAAGCAGGCCAAGACACACAAAGAGACCCTTTCTCAAAGTGGCCACCAAGCGAGGGCAGTGGAAATTGTGGAATTCTCTTTATTAGACCACTGTAATCTTCAGCCTATGCTGAAGGAGAAACTTTACCTATTATTCTTGATAACAAACACTACCAATAATCCTAAAATAAGTTACTCAAATGTAGCATATGAACAATATTTTAGTGAATTTTCACTTTAGAGGAAGTTTGACAAGTGTTACTCTGTTAATGAGATCATTAGGGGCAACAAAATAATAATATTGGGTGTTACATTTCTTAAGGATTCATTTTTAAACTTCATTTTAAAGCATAAAGAAACAGATTTACTTTTGGTTTTGTGCCAAGGGACAAGTACCAGGTTCTCTTTGAACTCCTGATAAACCTGTAGTGGGTCACGGAGTCTCACCCAACATAAGAATGGACTGGAGAAGTCCTTTTCTTAGATGAGGACCTAGAGGAGATTGCTCACATTTATCCTCGTAAGGGTGCTTATTCTTACCCTCTTTGTGTCTTCCCTGTTTACTGCTGGTCCCTAATTCTGCTTACAACAGTCTCAGAGCCAGAGACAACTGTGTACCAAAGGCAGATTCCTGGTGCCTCTGACTGATGTACCAGGGTCAGACTCTGGTCTCAAACAATCTACCAGGAAAGTATGAAGTCTGAACTCATGGGATTGAGGGGTTCAGCAAGGGAAAATCTGGAAGATACAACACTTGAGGGGATATGTGCTTCCCTGAGGCCATACAGATGGGTGTCATGACCTTCACTGATTGGGAAGGCCACAGTACTTAAAACCTGGGGCCCTGGGCATGAAAGGCACCAAATATAGGTAGATGGCTGGGGTTGGGAAGAACCCCCCTAAGTTTTCCAAAACTAACACTGAAACTAAGAAATAGGTAGAAAAGGAGAACTATTTAACAGCAATAAAACAAAAAACGCTAGCTAAAGCTGTAGACACTAGAGAAGTTTCATCTCAGACCACAGATGGTAGAAAGGAACCATGGAAGTGACTGGTCTGCACTGCCCCATATCCTCTCAGCTGGGAGCACAAGGAGACGGGTGCAGGTGCAGACCAATGGACACCACTAATGAAAAATAAATCTTCTGGTCCCAGGCATGTGGAGTACATGCGCACTTCAAGTGGAATAGACACAGAAACCACCACTTGAAGAAACTTTGTTTATAATCATTTTGATTGAGGCCTATCCATACTCCTCTTAAATCTTCATTAATGCATTTTACCTCTTCTCTTGCACTTATACGACATGAATGGTTTAGACATAGGCTTTGTTTGATTCCTGCTGGTTGGCCAGCCAAGCCTTCCATAAATTTTTAGTCTTTACTCATAGACTGACATTTGAAAACTTTCACCCACTTGTCCCTCAGGTGTGAAGATTAATTTCTGAAAAAAAAAGGGGAGCAATTCTAAAATCTCAGCCAATGAACAAAATTTAATCAGATAATTATGAACTGAATTGATAAAACAATCACCAAACTATGATTTCTAGTTACCAGAAACATTTCCATACTGAATGACAGAAAAACATGCAAAACACTATTTTTTAAGTACCAATTTAAAAAAAGATTTTATAGTTTGCCATATCTGAAATTTACTTTATTATAGTTGAATACAGATTCTTAGCTCAGCTCTTTAAGAAACTGATTCATCTGTTTCTTCCTAACCCTCCCAAACTTTGTAGGTAGCTTTCCTGTACCTGTAAAGCAAAGTTAGAAAACTGCTTTTAATAGTAACCAAAAAGTTTATAATTGCAAAAGAAAAACTAAGTACAGTAACATTACTATGAATTTGATCAGTAAAAATGCAAGTGAAGCAAAAGCACCCTTTCCAGAACTATTTTCCTCCAATGGTAGTTTTTACTGCCTGATGCTCATTGGACAATCATAACGCAGGTAAAGACTTGCTAACGTGAACCATATATGAAATAAGATGCACAATACCCCTCAAATCTCATTGAAAAGAATGCCTTCAACACCAGTTGCTCCTTTCAAAAGTTGTCACTAGCAATACAGAAGATTAAAAAATTATTGTATTACTACTGGAACTGAATACTTAACACACACCACACTGGATGACAATTATATTTCACAGCCCAGAAGGAGTTAGTGTTGTACTGGTTGCTTCTATGGGTCTAATATTAAGGGATTAGGTTACTGAATATGACAGACTTGCAGCCTTTCATGGAGATTAAAGACTTTTTGTAATTTATTCAACAAATCTGAACGATGAGCTGGAAACACATATGGAAGCACCAATATGGCCTGTATGGTTAGTTTCATATCAATTGAGCTTTCCCAATTTTATATTAAATCACAGGAGCTTCCCATAAATCTACTACAGTACATGCACCGTACAGCGTACTTAAATACTCTTTTATCCCTCCCTTCAGCTCATTAGCTATGTTGTATGCTTTACAAAGTAAACATGATTTTTCTCTGCTGGGAATGAAAGCTTAACGGAATGACTCTGCAGCAGGGGGGGAGGGGGAGGGGGGGGGAGGGAGAAGGGGGGAAGGGAGGAGCACAAAACAAAAAAAACCTCAACAAAACAGAACAGTTGTACCAAGCAAACTTTCTCTCTCAAAGATAAACTATTCTGCTTTTTTTAATGAAGGTTTATCAAACATATTAAAACAGAACTTCCAGCTTTTGGTTCAACAGTTTTCTAAAATGCCTGGATGTGAAGTTCTATGTCCCAAAGCCATTCTCCCCCCAACTCACAAGAAATGACTTAGGGCTTTGTATACTAGAAAGTTAGTTTAGATTATTATAGGTGGAAATTTAAAGTACAATAGCTATTTCTCTATGGCTCCATGTGTACACAAGCCCTTTCAGACATCCCCCCTTAGCACCCAGTGCAAGGGGAAAGCTGAATTAGTTAGCTTTTGTTCACAGAGGCCCCAGGCACTTAATTAGTTTAAACCTTGTTAGTTTACACTTGCACTGTCTTTATTTCTTCTTGCCCTCAAACCATGGAGTAAGTGCTTGTCTTCAAGACAAAGCTGTACTGGCTTAATTATATGTGCAATTTTAAACAACTTTAGTTAAATGGGTGCATAAGGCTGCATGAACACTTATTTTCATATAGTTTAAGTTAGTCAGGAGTTGATTTAAACTCAACTGAAATAAGACATTCAAACCAAGATAAGGATTGTCCACATAAAAAGTTGCACTGGTTTAACAAAAGATTTGTCCACAGGGGGAGTTATTCCTGACTAACTTCCTACATGGATGCTCTAGAAATAGATCAAGTTAATTTAGCATAAGGCACTCTTATTGTGGAAGAAGAGCACCCACATAGACTTAATCAGGAATAGCTTTAACTTCACACACTACCTTAATCTGAATTAATTTCCCTACCTAGATGACGCCTAAATCTCATGTAAACAAAGCCAAAAAGTCTTACTGATGCTCCTTTACAGATATTGGCTGATCAGCTTCTTCAGAATGCTGACATTTTATAGTAAGTTTTAAGTAGCACCTACTGAATATACCATGTTCCAGAGTTCTCTTTACTAGCACTGTGGGGGATCGCTGATGAACAGTTTATGTTCTGAAACTGACAGACACTAATCTTGTTGTGACGCATTTTCCCCTTCCTTTCAAAATTTCATGTCTGTGTGCAATATGAAAGCTTCAGCAAAACTAAAATATAACAACAAGATATTTTTACATACAGGCCTCCGCTGGATTTCTGACAAGCTGCTGTCATACTACGACAAAATAAAGTCAACGAGGTTGACAGTAGCAGAACACACACAATTTTAATACCAAGATGGAAAAGAACTGAAAGTTACTAAAAACTTCACAAAAACATTACAGACACTTTTGTGTTTTAATATTTAATTCAATATTTCACCACCCAGTTTTAAAAAAAAAGATTGCCTACCTGCATCAGCTCTGGATCGCTGACCTGGTGTCTTTCCGAATGGGGTCTTCATTCATCTGTGTTTAAGTGAGCAGCAAAGCTGCTGGACTAGGGTGAAAATCCAGTTCTTTCCAACTCTTAAAATTTCCTCTTAGCCTTCAAAATGATAAAATTACTACTTGTTAATCCACCATTCAAACGAGAATTTGCTTGTCCCAAGATTAGCTGAAGAAGTATTTTCAATTATATTTCTCTGCAAAACAAAAAGAGATTTTAGTTTAAGCAGTCAAATATGAAGCGTGGTCAAGATAAGCAATGTAAAAATTAAAAACTAAAATTATATTAGCAAATATGTTAATTTTCATGCTCAGGGAAATTATATTTTTTCTTTTAATGTTTTAGCACTGTGTGTAGTAAAAACAATGGAATAACCTGGCACAAAACCAACTTGGACTGACAATATCTGGTAGGGTTTGTCCCTTAAGTTAATTTCTGTATAATATACAGTGCCATTCTATAGGCCAGTATTTAAAGATATGGATCAGAATTATCTGAAAGCAACACGGAATAAAATGATTAGGTATCAATAAACTAACAGTTTGTTTTCAGCCAGGGTAGTGCAGGGTGTTATTGTAATTTTTAATTCTTAAAATGTAGATGTTTGTATGAAAGTCTTTGCTTTAGAATAAGAAACTAAATATCACTGGATCTGCACAGCAGGAGGTAGTGGCAGTAACCAAATACTTCTGTTAGCTGATAAAACACCAGATTAACTTCTCAGTAGAGAAAACCAGCTCTACAGAGAACAGTGATTTGAGACTTTTAGAACACATTACTGAAAAAATCATTCAACTATGACAAAAGGGAGAAGAGCTCTGCAGTGTGTGAAATTAATAATCACAAATTTACAGAAATTTTGCAGAAAGGGTAGGTATTTGAATAAAGTAATTTGTAAAGACAAGTGAAAAGAATTTAAACTTCTGAAATATTTAATCTCATTACATTTATCTACATCAGTTGCTACATGAGCTCTTCATAGAAATCTGCATGGATCACTCTTATCAAGCAGTTTTCTCCTGAGAGTTGGCAACATCTTTGCTAAAACAGTTCCTGCTAACCAAAGAGAAATCACAGTAACTGATCTGAAACAACTTAAAGCTTTTTTAACTTTATTCACTTTTTCACACCACAAACATCTGCTGTCCTGGCTTAATTAGTGTTTACCAGTAGCTTTGCAATTTCATGAGGTCATGAAAATTGAGACAAGGAAGTTAAATCTAAAGAAAATAAAAAGCGTATTAAATTGGTTTGTTCAATGAAACCAGGGGTTAACATTTTAGAATACCTGACTTCTTGAACTGTGTGGGGAAACAAGCAAAAGAATCATCAAACTGGTGGTAAGAAGTCAAAATCATTCATTTTAATTAAGAAATTTAGAGCCCTTTAGATCACTTGACATTCTTGGGACTCTATCATTTTCATCCTTCAGAGATCAAAATCCTACCCAGTATATTAAAACTAGTGAGAGTAAAACTATGTTGCAGTCTATTAAAAAATGTAGATACTCAAAATGTTTAAATTTTCCACTGACTCAGAAGAGTGCAAAGACATGTGGATCAACATTTTGCTGACAAAGGAAACTTTCTTTGTTTGGAAGAACATTTAGTAGAAAAAATCTATCAAGATCAAGATAGTCTTATTTAGCTAGCTTGTTCTGCCGCTACTTGTGGATATGAGTCAAAAAATCAAGACTGGTATCAAAGTGAACAAAATCAAGATCTAGAATACTTCAGCGTAGCCATACAAATATAATAATTATCTCCAATGCCATTTTGACTTAAGTCTCTCTTGCACAGTTTATTTGTAATTTCTGCTCTAAGCTGGAGGCTGTTCCAAGTCCCTGCAGTGCAGCTCTGTACCTGCCTAGCACAAGTTATCCCTGCCATTCCTTCCTTAACACTCATATTGGATCAAAAAAAATCACTCCACTACTACTGTATTGGGTCTTCAAGACCCCAGTATGTCAACATTGGAAAAACACATGGGATGATTTAAAACTGATGTTATGATCAGTTAACTATAAATCTATGAACAAATCAAAACTTTTCTAGATTCAGAAGCACACTACACAGTACTTGTGTGGGGGTCTAACTGACCCCATGAACACACACACTTATTTAAAAAGCTACGCTATGCAGCTTTCAGCATTTAACTGACCCCACATTTAGACAATGGAAATAGCAATATAAAAAGGCACAAACACAGCAAAGTGGTAGTGAATAACCTACTACTTTGGACAAATGGAGCAAATAGGTGACATGTTCTGAACATACTAAGTTTTTACACTTTACACATTCTTGATGCATTTTTCTGTCGTATTCTCTGAAGCAGATGTAACATCCTTCCTGTTTCTTAGGTTCTGGATCAGTACTCCGCACACTAGATGCTGCTTCCCTAGAAGCCTGAGGCAAGGTTGCAATGTTCCTTTTCTATTCCTGGTTTCACCATTTCTGTACCCAGGTCCCTGAGAAACATCCATCTCTTACTCAAAGATTATGCCATGTGCAGTTCAACAAAATCCAAATAATATATGCATTCAGACAGTCAACGTACATGTGCAATGTAATAGCCAGTCTTTGCCCCAGCAACAGAATCTGTCAAGTGTGGGCTGCCAGCAAATGCATCTGATAATTGTGACTTCCCCAGAAACTCTTCCTAGCAAGCACAGGCTTCCCAGAAAATCAATTTGACAGTGTTATCTTAAAAAAGACCCTCAATTTTCTGATATGAGGCAAATGTTATCTGGGGACTCGATCCGCAAGAAAACACTTTTAGTGCATTTTTTTAAAAAATAAAAAACAGAAACTATGATAATAAAAACAATCATTATAACTGCTGCTTCAAAGGGATAGCTCAGTGGTTTGAGCATTGGCCTGCTAAACCCAGGGTTGTGAGTTCAATCCTTGAGGGGGCCATTTAGGGATCTGGGGCAAAAAAAATTGGGGATTGTGCCTGCTTTGAGCAGGGAGTTGGACTAGATGACCTCCTGAGGTCCCTTCCAACTCTGATATTCTATGATTCTAAAATAAAAATCTGATCCAGGAATACCTACATAATTAATATGAGGTCTAAGTGACCCCAATACCTTTTGAGTGACATTTTTCTGCTACACAAACCCCCCAACAGGCTATATTTAGATGCATATCAGGAGCTGCCAGAGCCTTTTCCTGCTGCTGGAGCCTTTCACAGCAACATGTAGCTACACATGTAGTGCCTTTACCCCACACACTGTCCAAGTGTAGACATAGGCTCACAGTAAGGCATTTTCACTAGACCTCAAATAATTTTTGTGGCTGTTTAATACACTCTCTCCAATATTTTCAAACATCCTTTAAAATATGTTGAATACTACGTACAATTCTGGTGTCTAGGGGCAGTCTTATTAATGCCATATACTGAGGTCAAATCACCTCCCTACTCCTCATCACTCCTCTTCCATTTATACATCCAAGGATCGCATTACTTCAATTTTTCTATATCACACTGGGAGCTCATATTCAATTGGTTTGTCCACTATGAGCAGGAAGTCCTTTTCAGAGTTACTGTTTTTCAGAATGCATTGCATCTTTTATCTCAGCCTCAAACGAAGTCTGCAGTGACAACTAGCATTTGGCTTACATTATTCCTCCCTCTCATTCACTTTCCCTCTCCCGGAAAGCGTGACAAGATCTTGGCACAAAGCACTCCCTCTGCCTCTTGTACCTGGGAGTTAATATACAACATAGCTCCCAACATGGCTGGTTGTCCATGGTAAACAAGCAGCAGGGCTAAGGAGAGAGAAAGAAATGCTGTTTAATGAACTTCCGGCAGGCAGAGAGCTCGAGAGTTACCCTCCCTTGCATTGTAGGGAGCAGGCTAGGAGGAATAAAAGCCAGGTCGGGGGAAAAGCAATACACATCATGTAGAACCCACAGTGGAATACCTCCGACTTCAAAATATGCAAATAGGGCCATGTACATTCACTTGGTTAAACCACCACTTAACATTTACAAGAGAAAGAAAAATACCACTGTAACCGATTCAAAATTTCACCAGATCAAAACACAATCTGCATGAAATTACAGATACACCAAATCAGTTTTATGAAATAGCACTATTTCTCTTGAAAGTAGCCAGAACAATATAGAATTACAGCATTTTGCTACACCAGCAATACTTATGCCTATGTTTTATATACAAAGGATTAGGCTCTGCAACTTCTTCACGTCAGCAGAGCCAAAAATGTACACCTGAATAGAGAGCCAATGATTTTTTTTCTGAAAACTGGCAGTGTCATAGAACCAGTAATACAGAGTTTCGAGAGCTATCAGAAAAAATGTTTGGGGGGGAGGGGAGGGGAAGGCTGACGGTTCCATGGCAGTTGGGAGAATTATGGGGGAAGGGTGTGTGAAAAAGGAGGTGATGGGTTGTAATTATGTTTTCAGCAAAATTCCCAGAATGGCTGTTTTAGGCCTTGTCTTTACAATAAAGTTAACTCTGGTTCTTATTTGAGTGTTGCCCCGAATCTGAGTCCTGTCCATGCACAAACACCTCTCACTTAACACTTGGGTGTAAAGCACCACCAGACAACTAGCTTATCAGTGGTATAGACCAAGCGTGGCCAAACTTACCCACTGTCTGAGCTGCATACGATATTTTCAGAAGTTTGGGAGCCGCAAGACATGAACAACCTTTACACATGCATTTTTTAAAATATTAGCATCCTACTTACTGTATCATGGCTAATTACTACTAGAGCTAGAGACTGTGGGTCTCCATCCTGATCCTAAGTCTCTGGAAATCTGGTTGATATGTTGTTAAGGTGGTTTGGAGGAACTCTGTCAAATGTTGATTTGTACGGACTGCACGATGTTTCGTTTTTACAAACTTCATTACAGAGTACTGCGATTCACAGCAGTATATTGTGCCAAAAATTGAAAATGAGTCACACACTAGTCTTTTTGAGTTGAGGATACTTCATTCCTGGCACTTGCTTCCAGAACTTGATTGTTGACTGTGATTTATGCATCATCTTTAGAACCTGGTCTTTCTGGAGTTTATCATGAATGGGTTTATAAGAAAGCCGAAGCAGGATCTCAGCTTCTGCAAGTCTTCAAACTTGGTCTGAAAGTCATCATGCAGTCCTTGTAATTTACCTCCGTATTCCTTAAGTTTGTGATCTTCTACTTTGATTTCAGGAAATGTGTTTAACCC